AACATGCATTTGGGCCGGCCAACAGGCTCAGACTGGGTGCGAGGGTCCAGACTTGACACCCGGAAAGCAATCCGTACTTCCCCTCGTCCATGACTTGGAGCACCACCCACAGAATCACCAGTGTGAATGCGGTCTCTTCCATTGAGCTCAGGCCGCAAAGTCGTACTGTTGAGATTCTGCTGCTGAGATTCAAATTGTGCAACAGCCTGAGCAACCCGTCGGGATTCCTGCTGTTGCTGCAGCAGATCAAAGTCACTTTGAGAAGATGGTGCAGATGAAGGGGATTCTGAAACTATTACAACAGGTTTCTGAAGTACTGTATAAGGACTAGTTTGTCCTTGCGCTACCATACCTTGAAGAGCCAAGGCTGTACGCTGTTCTACAAGGGCCACCATTTCGGCCACAGAGAGCAAATCAGTCTCACTAACTCCAACACCATTCTCCGTCAAGTTGGATTCTGTGGGTACATCAACGACAACATTTTGAGCTCTAGTGGGAGGGTCATAAGAGGAGCAGCGACGACGGCGCTTGGCCTTGGTACAATCAGTAGCCCAGTTTCCCTTAACTTTCATGGCACTAGGCCTGGGAATTCCAGCACCATTACACTGGTGAGCTACAAAGAAGGCAATTTTCTCCTTGGTGTTGCCTGGTTTAATGACATACCAGGTATCAAGCAATACCCTGCCATCCTCCATCTGTGAATTCGGAGAGGGTGAAGCAGGTAGTGGTGGAGCCAGAAGGGTAGATGAAGCATCTGGTGGAGTGTTTTCAGTGCCAACATCCTCATCCTGCTCCTCACTGACTCCATGGGTCTCTAAGGTTGTAAGCCCCGAATCATCAGCCTTGCAGTGGGTAGCAGCTGTTCCATTGCAGATTGTACCATTGCTGTATGGCTTATTCTGGGAGTAGGTGCCAAAGGGGCGAGGGCACCACAGCCGGATGTGGGAAAAGGTGTCACGGTTCATTGTGAGCCCATGGAGAGCATACCTGCCTCTATGCTGGGCAGCTACTCTGCAATTCACCACTCATTCTCACTTTTCAGATCTGCAGGCTCCAGCCGGACAGATTACTCCATCTGAGGACTTAAAAAAAAAAAAAAAAAAAAA